ATCAATAGGATCAACGCCTTATTCTATTCAGAAAATCACGAAATCAGTGCAAACGTTCCTAATTGTAGGTTACCCAATCGTAACGGGAACCGCAATCTACTTTTTCTACTATATAACTAATCAAAAATGAAACAGATAAGGGTTAAACGCGGCAAAAATTCCATCTTCGCTTAAATAATTTATCTTTTTTGGAAAAATTAAACTGTAGTTGAAAAGCAAACAACGACAAATGCGAACTGCCGCGAGTTTATTTTACATATGGACGGTTCGCCAACAATGAAAACAGTCAGTCACAAATCGCCAGGTGACATAAATCGCTTTGTTATTTGATAAAAGGTAAATGAAGGTAAATTAAAGGGTAAATGAAGGTGAAGGTAAATGAAGGTAAATTACGAAGGAAGGTAAATGAAGGTAAATTAAGCAGGTAAATTATTATTATTATGAAGGTATGAGGGTGAATTGTATGGAGGTATTGTGAATGAATGTGAAGTGATTAAGATGATTATAAAGGTGCTATGAATGAATAGCACCTTTATAATTGCTGATTGATTTGCTGATTAAATAAATAAATAAATAAAAATGAATGAATAAGAAGTGATTATGAAGGTAAATCGTGCGATTCTGATCTTTCTTTTGTTGGTTTCCTATTTTCGGACTACCCCACCGTAAAATCATCTCGTCACTGTCCTAGTATCTATATTAATCAAAAATTCTCAGAAATACGACGGATTCAAGTAAGAATCGAAAGGCACAGTTCCATTGAAGAGTGCAGTCTTTCAGTTGTTCCATACTCTCATTTCAATAAAACATTAGCCATGAATAGACACGACCACAATTGATCCATCAAATATTTTACGAAAATCATTTCTATTCCATTTGCTTGTTGCACTCACAAACAGATGATTCCAAACGCTATTATCGTTAGCTGTGCGGAAAGAAGAATGCCAACGAAGGAAGAATGTGATATCAGTGATATTGGTGATAACAGAGAGGCATAAACTGGTAATGAGTTTCATTTGCTGATTAAATAAATAAAAAATAAATAAATTGATTGTTGCACTAGAGAAGTCCTGAACTCAACTTTTCAATGAACTCAACTTCAGTCGTTCCCCAGGACACCTCTAAACCTTCTTCATCAATAGTTATAAGATTTTGTATTGAATCGATTCTCGTCAATTCAGCAGTATTCCAGTATCATGCCAATATTCTTTTCAATTCTTTGTTATTTCTTCACGAACGTTTCTAAACAACTCAGATCATATATATAAGAAAGCTCCATATAAGAAAGTCTCCCTCAATGACACAAAATCCAGAGCTGCAACCATACTTCCTTCCTTCCATTGTGTCTGCACTGGGCATCCGTGTCTTCACTAGGTCTTCAACAAATCTTCAGATCATCCGTACCCTCAGAAACCCTCGTCAGCCTATTCACTTGCTCGTTGAACCGAGAAACTCTTCAAAAAGTCGTCCTAAACTCTCAAAACCCTCCAGAGAAAATCCTCTTTCTTCGCTAAATAACCTGAATCTCCACTAGTATCTCCTCATTTCGATTACTAATGATTTTCCTCACTTTACAATCAAAATTGCCTTCTCGAACCGTCCACTATCCATCCATCATAAATGAAAAACGGAAGAGACATCAAGACCGATATAAAGAATCTACTCACAATACCACACACGCAATTTATATATTAAAATATTTATTACCAATTCGTGACTGAAGTTTTCTTATAACAAAAATTCACCAAAACACTGAATAAATACCTTAAGTTAATCCCATTCAAAACAACAACACAAAATGAAACATTGCCGCAATAAAATTCAGCGAAATCATCAAATATCAAACTGAAATCCAATGCACACCAAAAAACAAACTGCACCAATAAAGAAACCCACTCAAATCAAACTAAACCACTTCAATTGTTGCAAGAAACATGCAAAAATGACAACTGCTACACCTAATTGTTGATCACATCAACAATTAATCTCTAATCATATACCAAGCACCGCTTTCAAACCGATTCAATACCCACCTCAATCTCATACGAACAACTCAAACAACAACTCTTTCTAAGGTATAAAACCATCATTATCAAATTCAAATCCAAATACATCTGCACCAATAAAGAAACGCAGTCAAATCAAACTAAATCTCCTTAACTGTTGCAAGAAACATGCAAAAATAACAGCCGCTATACCTAATTGTTGATCGATCACATTAATGATTAATCTCTAATCATATTCCAATCACGCTTTCAAACCAACTCAATCCCCTTTTCAGTCTCAAAATAAATTTTAAAATCATATTCAACAAAACTCTTCTATCCAAAATCTCTTCCCCATAACCATTCCCTTACAAACCATCATCATCATATCATCATAAACAATCATAAATATCAAATCATATTATAAACAACAATCATATTACTCATACCAACAATAACATCATATCATCATATTACTATCATAAACATCATATAAATCACCACAACACCTTCTCCCTACCATTTACTACCCTTCTTTTTCTTCTTCTTTGCCTGCTGTCCAGCCGGGCGTTGCTGTCTGGGCCCTTCGGCTTGTCCCATTATCGGCGTTGGTTTCGGCGAGTTTTCCACTTTTGCAGAATCACTGCAACAAAACAATTCACACCTCAATTCGACCCGCTCAAAATTCATATCACGCAGCTCGATTTCACACGATAACTCAAAAATACATTCGTCCATCCTCTTATTTCAAATTAATTCGTAAAATGAAACACTTTCCAAATATTATAACAACTTTTCACTGTAACAACTCATTCTACCCTCCATATACAAAACTCATTCCCTAAACAATTTCCAAGAAAATGTCACAGACTTTACCTCAAACCAGCTACACATATTGTTCGCTCACTACCACAACTATACCTACTATCAAATTCCTTTCTATACATTATTGAATTCACCACTTTTTATATCTATTCCAATACAAAAATGATCAAACAACAAAATAAGCCAAATGAAAATCAAGAATAAATTTTAAAAAATACAAAAAACACTGCAAAACAACACAAAATAAAGCACTCACAATTGCGGTGATGCAGCTGTTGTGCCTTGCGTGCCACGTCCAATCTCACGATCCTTGTGTCGCTTATTCAGTTTCTTTTTGTAGGCTGTTCGCTCTTGTTTCGGCAGCCATCTTTCCGGATCTGGTGGCACTTTCGGATCGTAATTCTTCGGCAAAATCACCTTACGCTTTCGTTTGCGTTTACGAAGTTTTCCAGTCACTACCTCCTAAATAACAGCAAAAATATACTAATGTAAGAAACATAAAAGTTACAACAAAAAATCTCAACCAAAAATTGCTACCTCACACAAATATCTTGAATATCACCAATAATATCAGGCATATATCTCAAATCAACCCTAACTACTGTTCGATGAACGCCGTAAATCTTTGCATATAAATGAATAATAACAGCTAATTACATAATAGGTACAAGCCAGAGTCTTACTTTGCGTAGTTATGTTAAAGACTCAACAAAAATTGGCGCGTTAAATACTCATTGTCAGATGCCTAATACCCACAAAACTGCATCACCAATTCATTAAAATACTATCCAAAATTATTAATTATTAATTGGACATCGAGTGCTTGTTTCGTCAATCGCAATGAGCGATCGGCGGAATATTTATTTTATTAGAGTAATGATTATTTATTGGATTGGTATTTGACTGCGTTTAATTATGCAAAGCGTTCACGGCGACTAATTATTTGTTCGGTTGTGTTCGGTTGGCNTGCTCGCCTAGCCAGCGGGGTGGTGTAAACTGAGGCTAAAACAATGCGCACGGAAACATTGCGAGCATTGTGGCCAGCAACGTTATAAACGTTTGATAGCAGCCTGCTTGCCAATCCAGGTAACTATCTAAAATTGCTCATTCACTTACCGTATCTTTCACTTCCACTTTATTGTCCTTTTTCTGCCGATAACGTTCACCGTACAAAATCCAATCCGACTGCTCCAACGCTGTAATATCCACCTCTGAGGTGTTTTTCGGTGGAAACACTCGATTGGTCAACTCTTCGGCCCGTTTCGCATCGAATGCCGAGTATGCTTTGATGAGACGACACAAGATTTGCATGTCGTTCGGTTTTAACGCTGACAAACGCTCCAAACACTCCACTGCTGATTGGTAATCACCCAGGTGAATATTCAATGTGGCCGTTTGCTCGAGAACGCCACCCAACATACTGTCTTCTTTGGCCTCGGCGATCGCTTTCGAAAGTAAATCCAATGCTGTCTAAAAACAATAAACATTTCCCTCTTCACTCCAAAATACTTACTAAAATCTTTTATGCCCAAATTTCACTAATTATTTCAAAACACAATTTTCATTTCAACTTACAATTCTCAAAAAGCCAATCAAACAAATTTCATTGTTGCCCCTCTGAAACTTTGCAATAACCGTTTCAATTCGATTATTTCCTTTCATTCCTTTGAATGTTTGCCCAATATCACTCAAGACTGCTCAAGTATCATTTCACATTTCACTACTAACCATCTTAAATTAGAGTTTTGATAATCACATATCAATCTATGTTGTCAATTTTCAGAGCCAAACTAACCTTACCGAAGAACTATAAAACCATATATCATTTATTAATGATATTGGTACACTACTCAGTTTCAAGCAAAACTTTTCTCCGCGAACGGGAATCGAACCCGCGACGATTGGGGCTCTACCTCTGAGCTACCGCGGAGACCGTTCAGTCTCAGCTGAGTGGTTGTGTTAAAATCGCAGGCAGTTCTTTAGTGCACATAATGCGAAACAGATCTGATGAGCGTCAAACGCTACAATCAGAGCGAACTGATCTGTTCG